TTCCGAATGAAACATTTTTTATAAGGAATTCCAATAGAATATGATATACTAAGCTATAATCCTATAAAAGATACTAGCTGTACCCGCGGGCTTTGCCCCGTTTAACTTCACAAGTGAGCTCGTTCGCATGGCTCAATCACATCCTGGTTGAAGTTCGTTCGCTACGCTCACTCACCTTTAGGTTGGAGCTCGTTCGCTACGCTAACTCGCTTCCAGGTTGAAGTTCGTTCGCTACACTAACTCGCTTCCAGGTTGAAGTTCGTTCGCTACGCTCACTCACCTTTTGGTTGCAAATTGGCTGTAGTCATAAATTTAAAAAAAATAATAGTGCTGCACCCTGTTGGTAATCCTTGTAACTTTAATGCTATTGAACATCATAGAACAGAACCAACTCCAGAGCCACTGGGGCGGAGCCCAAAAGCCCGATCAGAATAAAAACTACTTAGTTTTCCTATTTAATGCCCAAAGAATCGGTGTACCGAATTTCAGCCTCCTAGGTAAATGGGAAGTGGGAGAATTAGTGATGAGTGAGTGAGTGAGTGAGTCAGTCAGTGAGGGCTTTGCCATTTATATATTTAGATTACTTCCTTATGATAGCATATATGTCATAGATTGATTCTTCAATCATATGTACAGTATTGCTGTCTCACAAGTTATCAAAGTGAGTTGTTTCCATTTCTGGAAAGTGATTCATGAATATCCGCAGAGAAGTTTGACGTTGGAATTACTGTCATTGTTTAAAATAAAACACACCAAACCTATGAATTATAGCAATTTGTATGTTTACGAATAATCTGTTATATCTTAGTTGTATGTTGTTGGTCATAACAGACCTCTTCTGTTAGCGATGCTGTATTCAGTATAAAGTGTTCCTTCAGACCTCTAAATAGTTAAGAGGGCAAATTTATATATTAAAACCCCATTTCAAATCTCCACTACACGATACTCAACGAAGACCTGTCTAGATTTAAATGGATTTTAATGACATGATTATTCTAACATAATCACATTACTTTGGATACTGAAAGTAAAATTATCACGTCCGGTATTAAATTATGACTTGTATTTGGATCCGTAGTAAAGTAAATTCTTCAACGTGCACTTATTTGGCAATGATACCGGAAGACGAGCAATAGTTTGAAAATAAATCGATCCAACTTAATTTGTAGTAGAAGTTACAATAGATTTATGGTGAACATAAAACACGCTTTAAATAATTGGTCAATGGGTTTGCTTAGTAATATGAAGTGCTGTATGGCATTTTATAAAACTACTTAGATGTAGATTTATTGGTCTAGTAGAAATGCATTTAAAAACATCAAACATGCTCCTGGAATTATGTCATATTGTATTTTTCAAGTGCATTCGCCTCAAAGTGGATATAATGCAGGGTTTTATAAAAACAAAACCACGCAGTGACTCTAAAAATGGATTAATATTCAATGGTTTTTAAAAGTAACTTATTCCAAATGCGTATTCATAAAGACGTAAGGCAAATGTGAAAAACCTCAACTATTGACATAAAATTGACCGCAGACTAAACAATCTCCAACAGATCCAGTTTCTAATTTTGAAGCTGAGTTTACGAGGCTAAACTGGATCGAGAGGTCACCTTCGGGTTGTCAGAAAGTCAAACAGCTGATCGAATTAGTTTGTTGTAGCTTCACTTTTCAATTAAAATCTATTAAAACATTCTCTAAGATAAAGTTATTTTCTACCAAAACTCTTAAGAGTAGGCCTACCCAAACCTTCCTAACCCTTTCTCAAGCAAGCAACCCCCCACCACGGATGGTTTATAGGTTATGAGCCTCCCCCCACTTTTTATCCCCTCTATCCAATAATCGTGCTATAATTGGCATTCTTGAAATAAATGAGTTATTTAACTTACTTGAGCTCCTTGTACCCGTAGTATAAATACCACAGCGCGAACATCTCCACCAGTCCACCGCACTGTCACTGACCGAACACACACACACACTCACACACTCGCACTCACAGCTCACGATTATGCGTCATTCATAGCAAATATACATTAATAAGTTAATAAGTTGTGGAAATGCAACAAACGCCGTATGTAAGAGGCGGCGTCTGCGCGGCTGTGGGTTATTTAAAGGCTGGCAGGAGAATCGGACCGGCGTACATCTAGACTGTATATCGATCCTACAGTCCTTAGTCCTCCGATACTCCTGCCCCACATTCACATACAGGATCGGGATCGAAATGTCCCGACGTGAATGGGTCAAAGGTTGATTTTGACGTTTGTGACAGTGTGTGTCACTTCCTTCAAATGCATGTGGACTGAAGGACTATAAGGCAATGGATGGCTAATTCAGAGGACTATTTGCTCATTTAAGCAATGAGACATCCTTCAATCAGACGGTGCACCTTTACCAGAAAACCATGTATGGAATATTATTTTTTGTAATATTTTCATTTCGTGGGTAACACTAACTGTGGCGTTTTGTATGCACTCTGGTCTTGTACTCCCTTGGGTCTAATCGATATAAATTGCATTGATTCGTAGTGATATCACAACTTATTTTGACCAATGCTTATCACTGAACATCAACAATAGACCATATGTATTGTTTCTATTTACCTATTCAGGGCCGATTGTTGTCTGTCGGCAACCCAACACCCAGGACTGTCATCTGTCCACCTATTCACATAGACTTGTTGTCTGTCTGTAGGAGCAATAACGGCTACAAATACGTATTTTATATATGACATTTGAAACATAAATAAGAAACTGCTGTGTGTTGTTCACGTCAGTAGTAATATCCCTAAACTAGTGTTTACTGAATTGTCATAAACGAACGCCGGATTTCTGCGGTTCGCTTGGCTCACTGCGGTCTCTGAAAGCTATGTATTTAACGTTATCAGCTATGTTATTTTAGGTCTTTTAAGTCACGTTTTCGCATCGTGGAATACTCGCCTGAATTGTGATTCAAGCGGTCGATCGGATGGACCTATGGCCACTTTGCACACTGGTTTTTATTGCCTTTTCTAATTTTCCACACAGGACTTTTCTTGTATTTGCGGCAATAAAAATTGCAATGTTGAAATCCCTCTCTAGACTAGTGTTAAAAGAGAGTTTTTCTTTTTAAATTGGATAGAGCCATCTGGTTTATTTAAAAAAAAAATTATAAGTTCGTTTAGTATAATTAATCCTGTTTACTGTGACACGCTGGATTTACGGGGACTTCAGGAATTATAACGCTCAAAAAGCTAAAAGTGAGAAGATCTCTGTTAGCTGGGAATGTTGTCGCATTCTAGAAGATATTAAATGGATGAATAGTGTCAAAAAGTAAAATGTGACTCATACAGTCGCAGACATTTAAATATGGACTTTTTATTAATACACAATGTAGTTGTTGTGAAAGTCTCATGAGAACCGCTATAAGAAAGCACTAACATCTGTTGGCCCTTTCTGACCGAAAAGTAGACAATTCAAGCTGTTAGGAGTTTGATGTACCACCCTACCAGCATTATTGTCATCCTAAATACAAGCATTCCAAAACGAGCGAATTTCGGTTCGGACGCAAGTACTGTTACGATCTGATCAGGACCCTTCCATTTTTGGTTATGTATTGGATTTATAATAAATAAAAATCCCTACGTGATGGCTGTAATGAATATTGGGTATATCCAAGTTTTAATGGTAAAAATTAAAAAAAAAAAAACATTAAAACCCCCGTATGACTACTAATTTTCCTATGACCTGATGATCTTGCTGGTTCACGGACTCATTCAAGTTTATCCAGCTCTACACATTCATGGCAGAAGCAAAATTGCTCGAGTTATCGTCTCCACTTATTTGCACACCTATATTAGTGATATTTACGAAGTGACAATATTAAGTTACTTTGTATAAAGAAAATTGATTAAAGGTAACTACTGTAGGTGAGTTTCTACTGAGATAAATCGGATTGTCAATTAAAAAAAATACCTTCAGGGAAAGTGGTGGTAGGGGGGGGGGGGGGTAGCTCAAAACTTTCAAATGGGAAGTATAATCGACTTTGGTATAATTTTACAGGTCTTGATCAACACAGGTCATTTTATTAGAACACCAATAATAAAATGACAATAAAAAATAATTTCAATAACGCGCCTTAAAACAGCATTGTATTCAGGTTGTTACAAATTTTACTATTAGCCTATTTCATTAACTTTCAATTTGTTTCAAGGTAACATTATTTCATATCATTATTTATTACTAATAACATCGCCATGGAGGAGAGAGCTGGTCTAGTGGTTAGAGCGCGGGACTTCGGTGCCTGAGGTCCAGGATTCAAATACTGTAACGCCAAATCCCCAATAATTGATTTTATCTAAGTGACAACCCCTTACTAGGTCTAGCCTGAAGTATCGTGAAATACAATACTGGGCTCGTGCCTAGCGTCCTAGAAAAAAATAATAACATCTGTTTACGTGGTTAGTGAACAGCACCTCGAAAATCTCCAACTCCCCATAGTTGCTGTTAGAAGTAATATTTTGTCCCTTTTAGGGCGCCATTACCCCCGATTTCATTTTCTTTATGTCAATTGTTTAGGTTCATAAAAACCTGGAAAATTATACCAAAGTCAACTTTGAAAATGTTGAGCTACCGGTACCTCCTACCCCCTATCCCTAAAGGGAATCTTTATAAAAATTAACCATCATTGTTGTAGCCCCTCATATCTTAAAAGGGTGCCGCAAACTGATTTCAAATCATCTTAAATAGTAAAAAAAAATAAAGGGAGTGCAATTTACTTTTCAGCCACCCTGTAGATGGTTGCATTAGACAGCTGGGAGACTAAAGTATACTATACACTATGATTTTGTGACATTTCCCCCGTTCCTTTTAAATTCCAACCAGGTATACAATAATTGTTCAGTTACTTTTGTATACAGTTAATACAGTATGATGTTATAGTAAGGTTCGGTGTGCTCTACAGTTGGCCAAACTGGTTACCAGCTGATTTGGTTTTATGTACTGTCTGCTTTGTTTGGACCAAAAGTCAAGTCAGACAACATCAACCGGACCGGAAGGAAACCGACAATAAATTAACCTTGAAATTGGATGTTGATTACGTAAGTTAGTTAAAACCTGTTAGGTTTTGATAAGAAATAATAAATGCAACGATTATTTAGTGACGGATACCACTATTAAAATTTAATTCATCAGGTTTAGTTCATTCAGGCTTAAAAGTTGGACGAAGACTAGACTACAAGGTTAGTAAACTAGTTTACTTATAGACGAAAATAAAAACTAATATTAAATTTGTTGAAATGTTAAAGGGTCATGTAACAGAAGAATGTTTTAGTAGAATAATCTACTAAAGCTGGTACGAGTCCAGGCCTAAGCTTACTCATTGATAGGCTTTCGGTTATCTCTAGGAATTTTTGGCTGACTTACCCATTTTCGATTAATCGATATATCGATCGATATTTTCATTCGAATGAGTGTAGGACCTAAAGTAAAGTACAGCCAACTGGGCTACGCTAATATTGATTGAAACTATCGATTCGATTAGTAAACCTTCATGCTTTTTTTGGTTGGTTAAGTTAGGTTAGGTTATGATAGTTTAATTTTATAATAGATATATTTTAAAGTATCGATTATTAATCAATATTTTCAATTCAATGATTTCAATTAATATTAGCGTAACTTAGCCCAGTTAAGAAACTGTACCCTAAATTTGAATTTTGTTGTCAATGTCCATGTTGGTAATATTCCTGGGATGTGTGTTGTGTAGAAACTGCAAATTACAGATTGGCCTCCATTTTGAAAAAAATGAATCGATTATAGGCTGAATAATGGACATGCGATAATTCAACAGTCGAATCAAAGTGTAATAATCACAATCTCGATTGCTGATCGATATTTTCATCCGATAGTATCGTAGCCCAGTTAAGAACCTGTACCCGAAGCATCAAATGAAAGCACGATTTCTTAACCGGGAAAGAACCAAGTATCAAGTTACCAAATTATTTTGAATAAATGTGATAAAGATAGAATTTGGCAGTTGGCACTCTCAACTTTTTTAGTCCAAGACAAAACACCAAAGTAACCAACATGGACTTTATTGAAAGCAGCACACCCTCTAAGAAAATAAGTTATAAAATATGGGGGTATTGTACTGATTTACAGTTACCGTATTAATTTAAATATTTACCATTATAAACTTATCTTCCGCACCCTAAGCCAACAATTCATCACTTTTAAGCCTCTAGTCTGCGGGTAACTTACCCACAAAACATTTTATAACCACAATTGCATCCAAACTAAATCATTTATAGCAAATTATTGCTTTATAGTTTTTGTCTTTTGTTGGTGACTAATTATTTTATGTTGCAGTAAAATAAGATGGTCCGCGCCTGGTACATGGACAGCTCTGATGAAGACCAGAGGCTTGAGCACCACTTGAATCCACCTCAATTCGTCAACCTTGAACACCTCTATGCTACCACTGGGGTGGAATATTTCAAGGTAAAGAAAGAGATAAGAAAGTTGTTACACACATTATAAGAAGTTGCAACAGTTTGAAATCCGCCCATTGTTACAATCTACTTTGAGATTGTTTTCAAATCATTCTGTGTTTTGTTTTAGCTTGGAGATGAGTCGGGCATTGATAGGGAATATTTAGAAAAAATCAAGAAAGAACGCAACTATGCCTACGAAGATGAAATCACTTGCTCTAGAGACTGTCTTCCAGACTATGATACTAAGGTAGGCTGTTTATCCTTAAAAGTTTAATTGTAGTTTAAAATAAAAATAATCTAAAAAAGGTAGGCTAAATTAGTTTAGGCCCAAATAGGTTTTTTGTCACATACTGTAACTGTGCTGTCACTATTTTAGACTATTCAAGAACTCAGAATCTTCTAGCAAAGAATGATGTTAAGTAGGAACACCTTATTTAGTAAATAAGCTACTGCCCGGGTCAACTGTCTGGATAACCTATGTTACATTTACGGTACTTATTCTAGTTACAGACTATTGGTCTTGATTGGTAAATGGCTCCATTAAAAAACCGTTTGTATAGCATCACTTAGGCCTATTTATAATACAATCTCTAGTATTTACTACAATTAATAATCAAGTTTAGCTTGCTAAGATATTCAATTGCGTTTTCAGCTAAAAATCTTCTTCAAAGAACATCTGCATACTGATGAGGAGATACGCCTTGTTGTGGAAGGCTCCGGATATTTTGATGTCCGAGACAAGGATGACAAGTGGGTCCGAATTGAGGTTACACCCGGAGATCTACTCATTCTTCCTGCAGGAATCTACCATCGCTTCACATTGGACAGCAAGGTTAGTTTTGGGGCCCTGGTTAAATATTTCAAACCATCTATGGTGGTATCTTATGGAGGTTAAACTTAGAATACTTACTTGAACTATATTTAAACCCCACTAACCATTGTAACCTCTAAATTCTGCTTCAGCTAATTAAGGCAGGCCTATATAGTTATGTAGTGCTTGTACCAATTTACTAGTTGCTAAAAACATAAGTTAACAAAGTGAAGAAAAAATTGAACAAATATGGATGTTTCTATTTCTATGATGGTTGAACTGATTTGCAAAGTTCCGAGGTTGAAACGATGGTAAAGGATTTAAAAAGGACCCTATGGTGATTTAAAAAGTGAAACCTATTTCATTTCATATTCAATTAGCTAGCATATTCAATTCCATAGCTGTTCATACCCAGTTGAACAGAATAATAGGCCACTGAAATAAAGGTGATAGCTGCAGCTATGCTTTGGAAAGTTTTGAAACCCATTCATACGCCTTTAAGGACTTTCTCAAAACATTAGTCCTTGAAAAATGGAACCATATTCCAAGATGTAATTTTTCAAATCAATTATTAGAATTTTGTATGATTTATGATCATATTGAGGTTGATTTCTAGCATGTTTTGGCAGTTGGCACAAAATGCAGTTTCTAAAAGCTACAGAGCAATTTCATCTTAAATGTACCGTATAGTAAAGCTGAAAACTAATACCCAAACTATTTATTTGTTGTTTGTTCCCCAGAACTTCATAAAAGCCAGAAGATTTTTTATTGGAGAGCCCGTTTGGACGCCTTACAACCGACCAGCTGATGAGATGGACTGTCGGAAAACTTACGAAGAGTGGCTCCAATCAAAGGACTCTCCCAAGCACCAAGCAACTGCTTGCTGAATGAGAGAGAGCTAAAAAAAGTGTTTTACTTTGCATGAAAAAGTAATATGAAAACCTATATCAAACTATTCCTTAAGAGTGAAGAATCATATCCATGGGTTTTGTGATATTATTAATACATTATAAGCAATATAGTATTTTTAACAGTTTTATTAAATACAAAAATTGTTACTGAAATCGTTTTATGAATTCCTTAAATTATGTTCAAGTTAACAAATTTAAGTTGGACTATACAGGGTGTTTCAGTAAAGCGTAGCGGGCTATAGAGATTCAGATTCTACATGCAAAAATAAGTCGAAAATGAAGAATAACTTTTTTTTTATTTCGGCTTAGTTTGGCCGTAATCCACCATTTTGTATTTTTTTGAAAATAATTAATTTATTACTCAAAAACCCTTTGAGATATTTTTATGAAACTTGGTATAAATAAAAGTAAAACTCAATGAAAAGCGGCCATTACAAAAAAAATTTAAATGGTCGCCATTTTGAAACTAGATGAGCCTGATCGAAGATATTTTTGGAGAATGTTTATACCTGTAGACTTAAAGTTTGTACCAAGTTTCATAAAAATATCTCCAAGGGTTTTTGAGTAATTAATTATTTTCAAAACAATACAAAATGGCGGATTACGGCCAAACTAAGCCGAAATCGAAAAAAAAATATTCTTCATTTTCAACTTATTTTTGCATGTAGAATCTAAATCTGCATAGCCCGCTACGCTTTACTGAAACACCCTGTATAAAGATCAGTAGTTAGTTGGTAAGGTTTGATTCAATAATTGTGAATGTAAATTAAATTTATATATAAACTAAAATATTAAAACTTTTCAAAACAATATGAAAATTTAAAATAACACTTTTTAGTTTTTTTGTTTACTTACTATGATAAAAATCCTGATGAGGTTTGCAAAGAATCCACCAAGGACCTTTTAAACTGTCATTTACTTGTTTAAATACAAGGCTTGTCAGTAAATTAAGATCTTCTTGAGCTCTTGTTGAGGCCAGGTGAGCTACTGTAGTTCAAATATTAGACCAATGCTGTATTCTTTACTTCATACTACTATTATAGTTGGTCCCCACCTCTATGCAACAGTATTATTAGTTTCATCCAAGCCACTTATTTACATATGGCCTGCAGCTCAAAATACTTACCACTTAAATACTTTCTTAATAGCCAATCCCAAGAACCCTTTCTGCCCTTAAAAACATTACTAGTTTATTTAAAAAAGTATATTAAAAGTCAAAACCAACGCTTTATAGCCAACCCCAATTTTGGCAGTTCGGATGACTATTCAACCTTTTGACTTCAGTGGCGGCTAGCCCATAAGGACTCTCGGACACCGCCCTCCCAACAATACATAAATAAATTACACTTTAATATTCTTCGGTTAAATAAAACTAAAATTACTTTAACGAGTACTTTTAACAATATACAGCATAAATATATAAAAAAAATTGGATAATTCAATTCAGCAAAGACTCATTGTCACTTTCATAGTAAGGACGGCGGCTAGACCGTCCCAATCCCAATACATGTAGTCTTATGGCAGAACAACCCAACAGCGCTGAGGGTGCCATGACGTCATTCCAATGCTTTAGAATAGGCGTTTTGGGGCAGAGTCCAAAGTTGCGCACACACTCAGGGCAGTCACCACAATCCAGATATTCTTTATTGCAAGCTACCGTTATGATGGGTAGAACCATAGATAAAATATAACTTTAGGAGATTGTTTGATCAAATATGTGTCCTCGTCGGAACTGTTCACTAGATCAAAATCCCACTAGGTCAAACTCATACACACAGCCTACGTTTTTAGTTCTGACTGTACTTGTTGACCTAGCGCTACAGCCTAATATATTGTTTTTTATCTAATGGGACAAAAATAAATTATTTGACCTTCTGGCACTGTTGACTTTCTGCAACGCGTCCATCAGACACGTAACATATCGGTAACTTCTTTGTGAAGTCCATAGTCACATGCAAAAGGAACTTTCAATCAAAAGAGACAAATTAAATAATAGTATTTTTTAATCATCTAGTAAAACATAGTAGTGCACAAAGTCATATTTATTCAATAGTTTAGGTTTCAAAATACTAAAAATTAACAACAACAAATTAAAGCTACAATAATGTAATATTCTGTAGATTATTTTTATAACAAAATCAGTAGTAATTCTGCACCATAACACAACAATTAACAAGTCATATTGCATGTACGCTTCAAAAGGATAGGAAACGGAAATTTATACTATACAAGTAAGTACTGTACAAATATTAGAAAAATGTAAATCACTAGGTTTAGACACATATTACCACAGGGTTCTAAGGAAGTGATGATGCATTGCTTTGCTATGTTTAGAAATCACAGGAAACTTGATCATTTGATGAAAAAAATAATTTTTACTTTTATATTCAGATCCAAATAATAATTTTAAAAGACTTATTAGAAAACAGCTTAACATGTAATTTGATTATCAAAAAAATTAACAGAACAGAGTTTTATTCTGACATTTTCCAAAAAGATTCTTAAATTCCATTTTACGGTCAATGTTAGAATACAATCTAAAAAATTGTTTTGAAGATATTCTATCGCACCTAATTTGCTTTAAAATTTACCTTCTATAGGTCGGCCAGTTAGAAAGCGTCCTCCTCGTAGAATTGGTGCGAGAGAGAGATACCGAGCTGTGGGAGTGAGACAGACTATGGCTCTTCCCCCACTCCGCAACCACCCCACACCAACCTTCCCGAACACAGCTAATCAAATTAAATTATACAGCTGATCAAAATGTAAACAATTACGTTCTTCATAACTTGAGAAAAATAGGTTCTGCAAAAAATATTGTATAGCCTAAATCGCATCAATATTTGAGCATCATGAAATGTTATTATATCATTGTGTAAGCAGTTCCATTTGGTAACACAGGATTCCAACTCCCATGACACCGGGGCGGCGCCGTGTCGGTGTCGTGTCGTGCAGTGTGAAAACGGCCGTTGGCGGAGAGGGGGAACATACCCTCGCTCGCCGTTACCTCCCCTACATGCGCTAAAAATTTTGCGCAGGTCGTTTTCTAACCGGCCAACCTATAGTTAATTGTTTTAAATAAATTTTATTAGGTACCAAAAGAATTATGATATGTCACCTTCTTCAGTAAGGGGTGTGCAAAGTTGTACTTTTGACTTTTTCAAGGTTTCAAGCCAAATACTGGAGAAGCCATGGTTTATAAGTGTCACAGGTGCTACAAAAACTAACACGAATTAAGTTAATTCACTTTAAAAATGAAGAAAATGAAATCTTACTAAATGTATGAATACACAACATTTTGAAATCATCAAAAATTCACAAACAGGCTGTAATTTGGCGAATCTGGGCTAAACTTTACTCTTTGTAATTTTATTATTAGTTTACATTGGAAACATCTGTTAATAATGGCATTTTAAAGACTGGTACAAGCCACTTTTTCTTGTAGCCCTTTTTGTCAATGAGTCTTTAAAAATGTATTGGAACAGTTTAAAACCAATTTTAATCACACGATAGCTTACCAATAAAAATAAAAATTCTTGAATAAAACATGTTGGCTCAAAAGTATACAACTACTTACACACCCCTAACAATCTAATCCTTCTTATGTTAAATTAAGTTCAAAATATTAATTAACTGAAAACACTGCTATAAACCCTTGATAAAAGAAAGCATTTTTACAACAAACAAAAATCAATACGTAGTTGCATTACGTAACATAAATTTACATTTTACAGTTGGTTACAAGACAAATTTACTTACAAACTATATACATAAATAAATACTGACAAAAGGAATGCTTAACACTTAAATCTAAACAAACATGATATGTGGCCCTCCTGAAAGTGCAATCTGATATGCTGTCTCCTGTCCTTAGTAAAATAAAAGTAAATCATACAAATATAATCCCTTCCATAGATGGTTTAAGATTAATTTAGAATGATCAGATTTTTCTGCATTTGGCGCTTTGAAGTGGATTAACAGAATGGGAATCACCTTAGATAATTGAAATTCTCTACAAGTTTGTGTAAATTTTCCTAAAAGAACGGTTTATTACAGGTCCATCTATCATTTCTAAAAGATAAAAGAATTTTTTAGAATGTTTCTACCAATTCAAATTTGCTCTAAAACCATCTGGACAGAAGAAAATAGTCAACCTTAGTGAGAAAATCTAAGTGACCTTAAAGTAAACAGTGTTTTACTTTCTCCCTCAGCCTCGTTACTATTTAAGCTGAGATACTTATTGATAATCTGCTACTAAAACATTTCAGTTCACAACAATACAGCATTTTGATAAACAGGTTATTGCAATCTTCTTGAATTTCCAACAATGTGTTTTGCCATAACCTCCTCTAATACAATATGTTATGATTGCTCTAACAAATTATTTTGATTATTACAATTTTGTAAAAAATGTGGAATTAGGTTATAACATATCTAGATACAAATCTGTAAATGGGAGATGCTAAACTTCCTGAACTACAGGAATCAAATTACAGCAATTGCAAAACATTAAGGTTAAAAACAAAACAACAATTTTAAAAGGTTCCATATGCAAAGTATGATGTTTTAAATATCCTTAGTTAATACAAATTATTGTCCAATAAAAACTATTTATGAGGATTAGGTTTATGCTTAGTTATATGGTATCAAAAGCTATTTAACATTCTTTACGCTGGATGAAAGATTCATTACTGTTTATGGTCCTCAAGCTATGTAACTCACAACAACGAAAAACTAGACCTAGAGAAACAGAAATTTTGTTCGGTAAAAGAATTAATCCAAATCCCACAATAACATTTAAAAAATCTATCAAAATAAGTTTTTAGTTTGTGTTTTAGTTTAAATGGGTTTTAGTTTGTTAAATGCCATGGCAAAACAGTTTTTGCTAGTAGAACAATATAAATTTCAACAAATGAGTTGTTAGCTCACGATAGAAAAATTTCAAATGAAAATCAATATCTGTTATGAGCTAAGATTAATTATAAAAGAGGCTAGCAGAACAGATGTGAAATGTAGTTGAAAAACCTAAGATAAACAAATGTACAGTGCTGCAATTACTTTACACAATGAAATATGTGCCAATCCCATCTTAACTCTGCTCATATTGACATTGAACTGCCTGCATTAGATTCCAATACATGTAAATTGTAGTCAGGTATTTCTTTTCATTTCATTTAACCCTACTTGAAAATGTTTTGTGGGATGTGGATTTACAATATATAAAAATAAAAAGTATTTACACTGTCATAATTTGCATCGCCTATTTACATAACCGCAACTAAAACTTAACAACACGAAGCCAACATTAGTAACAATTAAATAAATCACAACCGATTAAAGATATTTGCAACAAAATAAACCGTGTCGATATACAGGAAAATTACAAATGTATAAATTTGTACATTTCCTACTAGTGTAAATTTACAAAAAATATTAGTTATGTCTAGCTACAAAGAAAGACAAGAATACATTTAATACTATGAAAAAACAGTATAAAATGACCTGAAGGTTGGTTTAATCGTCCGGTGTGAACTATCCTACCATCACAGACATTTCAGCCCTCCACTACGTGTTCTACAACCTACTTAAGTGAACATCAGAGCTAAGGTAACACTTAACACTGTCAACATGTAAAATGCATAAATAAAATAGTTATTTTTGTGATGAATCTATACTAACTCTAACTGAATATATAAAAATAACAGTCATATAAAATACTGCACTTTGTTTAAACACTGGACTATTTAAACTGATTGAAGGTCATCGTGTATATAGTTTTACTATGCGTTTAAAACTTTCAATAACATAAATATACTTGAGAAATATTATATAAAAGTCAGGATAGTGTTATTGTAAAGGAAATATCCATACAACTCCTGTGAGGGCTATGTATAAATATGGACGCAAAATGCACATTTGGTTAACTGAGAATATTGCTACAGCTTACAGCTTGGTATGCTTGACATTGTCAGTCCAGTAGTTCTGAATCGTCATTGCTTCCAAGCTATTCAGGAATGAATCATTGTCCAAACTGTACATTTCTTCTGAATTCTCCTGTAAATGAAAAATTAGAACGTTATTCCAAAAATTTTGTCTATGAGATCACTGTTGATAACATCAATCACTCCTCGTTTTTAATACTTTATATGAACAGGTAGGTGGACCAGAGTTCTTTTGATCCGAAAAATTTACTGGGGAGAAAATGTTACTGTTTTCAAATTAAAAAAAGCTTTACAATATGTTTAGAAATACTAACTACGGTGTCCTGGTATAAAATACCAAAGAAACCAGGAATTATAAATTAAATTTGATGACTGGAAAATTTGGAATACTGTAGTTGCCAATAGCCTATGGCTTAGTGTATATTCATAAATCTTCTCACATTGTCGTTCCATTCTGTTAGTTCTCTTTTGGTTGTTGTGTATTAGGAAGAACACAATCACAATAGAAAAAAACATGAATATTACTGCGATCACAGTCGATAAATACGGGTATTCCTACATTGGTGAAAGGAAAACAATTTTGTGATGCCAAAAGGGGCTTTAGTTAGTTGCCAAGTCCCAATTACTTTGGAGAAACAAGTCTCTGGTGTATCCATAAAAGGTTTTCAGACCCAATAATTCCTTATAGTATAGGCATTAAGACAAAATCTTCAAAAGTCAAGATGCCTTATAAGCTATATATTGTTACCATATAGCTTGTTTCTACGAAAGTGGTAGTTCACAAGAGGTCAACATGAGAATAAAGTTTTTATGGATGTGCCGGGAATTGAACCCGTCCCTCCCACACTAAAAAGTCCGAGACGCTAACCACTAGGAGCAACACAACCACTTTTACAAGTTAACACGTTCGCTGCGGCACGTAAAATGGCGGGCGTATCCCCAGTGCGGCGCAGCCCTCAGCGTCGGACAAACCCGATTGCTGCGTTTGATTGGCTTTCCAATTTTAGTCTGACGAATAGCAAATAACGTGCGGGGAATGTCCTGCTTTACAACGAGAGTCGACGTAGTTCGCTAAACATCCACAGATAGCAGTACTGTTTGGAACGTAGCCGATCCCATTGGAATTGTATTACCAAATGGAGGGAAAAAGACGGGACAAAAAGTTGATTTTTAAGATTGCCAGACGGGGATTTTATGGGGAAATTTACTACCAACCTACACCACAACAAAATGCAAGTCACATACTACACGCTAACGTGGTATAGGTCCGCTTTCGGCCGACGCTAGAGCAAAAACGAAGATATACAAAAGGCATTGCCGAGCGTTCCTGATGGGGTACGGGCGCACCGTACTAGGGCCAAGCACCATACCCGATCGGGAACGGCCGCACTCTACGTGTTAATTAAGTAATATTGGAACTAATTTACTTTGAGTTAAAGTCAAAGACCAAATAATATTTGCCTTACAGAAATAGTGTTTTACATTTTTAACAGCCTGTATGTGAAGTATTGTATTACTTACCCTAAGTGTGCTGTCATCAATGTAGCCGCTAGAGTCAGCGTTGCTGCATTTGTCACTCAACGTCTGCGGTTTGTTCCACATTCTGTGACGGTAATAAATAAATCCTCCACCTGCTGTACAAACACTCAACGTTAATTATAAATGTTCATATTAAATCTGAAAAAATATATTGTTCTTTGATATTTTTTACACATACATATTTTGTTGAACACTACATCACACAAAAAACTTAAATTCATAAAAGAAGCTCTAATTTTGATTATTTCAGATAGTCACCAAGTAGTATAAAAGAAACTTCTTAAACGTTGCATCAAAACTGTTTGTTTACTGTGTGACATTGAAGAGTAAAATAAAACATTAATCACCAATCGTCACATCGTGTGCACTTACCTACAACTGCCAGTAGCGCGGCTGTACCCAGAGTAACCCCAGATATCAGAACAATGTTAAGATCCTCTGACGGCATTTTACGGCCATCTGCGCTTGTAGAGTTGTCTTCGCTTATACTTGCTGTAAACAAATACAAAATTAATTTGTTGTAAAATTGTGTGCAGACTAACCTTTTTTACCACATTACACAGTAAATACCTAGATAGTTTAGTTTGTGTACTCATTGTAGCCGAGAAAGTTGCAGTTGCTTTAAGCAACAGTAAAGTCAGCGAGTCCAGTAATTTTCGCTGTAGTCTGGTAAATTAACCAACTACTCTCATGTGCACAGGAATTTTTTTTAAAGGTATGATATATGTTTTTTTAATAGACCCTTAAAAAGCTACACAATCAAATATTGTGTTAATATAGTTAACTATTTATTTGTTTCTGAGACAAAAATTATCATACATGACACCCAGGAAGACATATTTTACGGTACTTGCATGAAATCCTGCACTTGGCAAGCCTCACACGGGAACTATCATACTTGTACCAGCAACACCTACTTCTCGTCCTGGTAACGTTACTTAGCACTATTCTTGAAACTTTGTGTTTACCAATCGACTACCATCTATCACAGGGGCCACCTTATACCTTACAATACCAAGACACTGAGCAGTTTAAATCACCTGGTAGAGAATGTGCTAATTAAAACTATTTAGAAAATTGCTTTAAAGTTTCAACGCTACTTTTAGCGAAGAGAATTATTTATGAAGCAAAGAAGTATGAAGTGGAAGTTTTTGTTCATAATATAAAATTGTAAATCTAATTTAAGTCATTATCCTAGATGTATTTTGCACTCTTACTTGAGTTTTGTAAAAGGCCATCCAGAGTTTCGTCATCAGAGATATCCGTAGAGTTGTTGACCGCATCACTCTCGCTCTCTATAGCCACCGGCTGATCACTCATCAAGCGAGTCTCATTGAGACTAGCTACCTTAGTCGTGTTGACTGGCCCTTCAATGACATCTCCTTTGACTTTCCTCATAAATTTGCTGGGAACTTTCAAATTAGAACTATCCGCTTTGAAACTAGAATCAACAGAGGAATTCAATTTAGAATCTTTTTTAAAGGAATTGTTGTACTTTATAACTGGATTCGGGTTGTAAATGGGTAGCTTTGGTTTTTCACCCGCGCTGTCGTTTGAAGGTTTGATTTCTGCAGCGACTTTCTTAAACTCGCTTGCATTGTACTTTTTTGGCTCGTTTTGTTTGTTTTTCTGGTCCTTTATCACCTGAGGAGTTTCCTTGGCCTCATCCTCATTGTCTAAAGAAACTTCTTCACTGCTGGTCTGTTGGCTCGTCACTTGCGTATCGTTGAAATCATCTTCTGTTATTTCATAATCTTCCACTTTTTTTGGAATGCGGGGTTGGAATGTTTCTTCGTCAGGAGATCTTTTTGCCCTTTGATATGTTACAGTGTCTCCTAATGATGTGAGGACTTCTCTAGGTACAGCCAAGGAGCTCTCAGCGGTTGATGTAAGGAGCACAGCTACCCATAATACTGAAATCAAAGAAAATATTACCTTTTTACCGCAATAATAATGGTTCTCATTCTTAAGGGTGTGCTCTACCTCAGCTCAGAAATCGCTACTCGGGCCTCAGTAGCTATGTTGCGCCATTGAACAGCGCCGCGAGAAGCGCTTGCAGATGTTTAAGTTTCAACCCAGAACCACCAACTTACTTCAATCAGTGTGTGTAATTTTTAAACTTAAATTACTCACTTAACTTTTAAAATATTTTACATCCGAAGATTGTTCCTCACTCTTTAGATTCAAATTTATGACTATGTAAGTGTAAAATGCTTTTGAAAAACGCTTATTTTGAAGAATTTACAGTCACCTCCCACTTGAAATTCTACCATTATCAGAAAATTAAAAAAGTACAAGCCTACAGATATAAGGAATGAATAAATTAACATAAATATATTTTTAATCGGTTAAGAACTAAGCTGACAATGACGGTGATCCTAAACCCTTGCCTTAACGTGCGGCGGACAGGTAGAGCGCACCCTTAACACAGATTGATAATATGAATAGGGTATATAATAATGTGAGTCATCATCTCACTTAGGCCTTGATTTTTATGTAGGCCTAGTGGCATAAAACCATCGCTTAATTTTATTTAACTTAGTTAAAACTACTAACAGAACATGAATTCTATATTTTAAATACATAGGCCTAACTAACTTTTTTACACTACTTATTGTTAATCCACACTTGAGACATCATTCAAATAAAATATTATTAAAAAAATATAGGCTATTGAAAATGTTTTAAATGCTGTTGACAATTATTTTTAGCATATCTCCTATATAGGGAATAATCCTATTACCATAGATCTCATGGTAAGACCTAGGCCAGGGAACAATTTACTTATTCATTTTTAGGTCCTAAGAGGCCAAAAACACCATTCTTTCAAATTCATATAATATATGTCTGTTAGCCCAATAACCCGAGCTCAATTTAAAAAATAATCCAATGTTGATTAAATTATTTGTTATTAACAGGTTTAAATCTAAATTTTCCCGTGGGAACCAGTATGATTGGACTATGGGAACGGAGTTTATGGGGGGTTTTAAGGTTTTTTTTTAATTTTTGACCTTAAAAACAACAAATTATGTAGAGCTTAGACAAAAACAAATAATTTAGTAGGCCTATATTGAAGCATTACTATGCACCAAATGGTTAAGGGGAAGATAAAAAACTTTAAATTAAAAATTCTTAAGTTGTTATAGAGAATATAAGTAAATTGTAATAGTTTATTGTTTATGAACAAAATTTTACCAAATTTGGAAAATTTATTTATTCCATACTCGACTATAAACATTTTAACAAAAAAAAAAACACTTAATACCTTCCCTTTAGCAGCAAAACTATGTAGGCTACTCGTTAAACTAATGTTTGGAAATAGGGGAATAAATATGATATTTCTAATAAGTTATTTTAGTGAAAATCCAATCAGGCAAATGAAAATTTTGCAATTATGCTGTGACGGGGATATTTAAAGCATCACTATCAAGGGTCTTATTAAGGTTGTAATGAATAAGGGTCTGATCATTTATTATAAGAATAATCCAGCAACATTTCTCTTAAGACAACATTTAAGATCAGTGTTTGGGCCATTTCCTCACAAAATCCATAGTATTTCGCTATTCTGTCAAAGGACACATATAACAATTGATCTGAAGAATGTGGTATATATAATTGGCGTCTGGGGTAAAAAAAAAAAAAAAATACACAGTTAGTAACCCCTTACAATGACGTCTACAACACTTAACACGAAACAATAGTGTCAATTGCTAGTTTATCCGAATTTCTACATATTACTTAAAAATTATGTGACAAAATGAAATACCTAACTTGATTGATACATTATAGTTGTTGCCAAATCTAATTACCTTGAAGGGAAACTAAAACTGAGAAGATATTGTAAAGATGTTGACCACTCATGACTAGAACTCCTTCCCCACTGGCATTATGAAACCAGGAAGAAGCCACACTACAGTAAGGGAGGGTTAAACCAATAACGCAGTGAATACTCCGACCTAAGTTACTCACTGTATTATTATGAAACTATTAAATAACTATTTTAAATTTAACTATATTTTTGTTTTAACATATTTAAGGAGTGTAGATTTCTAGAACCTTGTATGCACCATAACAGTTAAAAATTACTAGGTATGATTTTTTTTATATTTATCCCATAACACATTGCTTGTTCAATAGCCTAATTGTAGAAAAATAAGCATACCTAGCATAATTTGTTGAATGTTTGAGTAGGCCTGAGGCTTTTACTAATAATGAAAACACAAGTTTTACAAGACAATAAAATAAAGAATAGATCAGGTAACATATTGGTTAATTGTTTTATACAAATGGACATCAAATGTGACATGATTACAATTTCAATCGGTTCATATGTTTTTGAAGTATAGTAGGCCTAAGTGTAGCAATCAATTCCATTGAATCTTCAAATTTAGAAAATTGCAAGGTCCTATAGTGACAAATACGCAAAACTTTTAACTTAGACATTAAAACATCTACTTACATGTAAATGCAAATCCAAAACACCACTGTGTCCAAAAGTGAGAGGCCATAATAGCAGCATCGTGTTCATCTACATTTACCTGAAATCAACATTTTGAATTTTCAACTCGTAGTCTCCTTGAATGAAAACGTCGACCTTTGTGTTTCTGTTTGTAAAAATTAAACAGTAAGACACAAACTTACCATGCAAATTATACTGCAGTTTAGAAATTAAACTGTGTAGCAGAATCAAAACTAATAGGTAACTTTATCGTAATGTAAACATCTATAATGAGAATAAAAAGATTAACTGAGGGAAAACTAACCAAAAATCTATCTAGGCTACATAAAAACAAATCTAACAGCTGATGCATCTGCAAAATCATAAGCGTGAATAAAATCACCCTTTAATTGAGACCCTTAAGAGAAGTTATTGCCATAAAAATATACAACATTACAATAAACAAGGTAGGACGGATGACAATTACAAGTGGAATGAACTGTGGGTGAAGTGAAGTAAGCCAACAGCTGATTGTTTTCAATCATAGGCCTAGTCAAGCATTAGCCAAATGGGAAGTGACAACTTAAATAGCTACCGTAACTCTGATTCTGATTCTGCAATTTGGACCTGATTAAGTTACACTTCACTTTCAATCCCAATATCAATTATTTAAGATGGGGACGCCACTATGTGCGTATTTTAACCCAAATATGAGTGAAGGATGAGTGTAGGATGAGTGGCGCGATCTTGTAGTCTTGTTAGTGACTAAGGCCGACATGTTCCTTAGACACAGCTGTTAATTAATAGCCCAAACAGCTAATGGCAACTAAGGGACCTACAGTTTTTAGTGGAATCCGAACCACATTTTTCCTTGTAATTTACGAATAGCCCAAACAGCTAATGGGGTAAAAATTCAGTTTCCACAACAGTTATCAGGATAGTACTGCGGATAGTCGTAGTACTCAGTAGTGCGGACGTTAATCCACACCAGTGAGCATCGCATCCACAGTGCATCCCTATAAATATCCACAATTCGTGACCTCCTAGTAGCTGGATTACAGGACGACGCCACCCGTCCCAGTCTAGACCAATAGGCTAACATTTAACCCTAGCAGTGGCTAACGATTGTAATACGCTCGTTTGCTGTGACGCCTAGAATGGCCACCAACGTAATACGATAGTAAAGACCGACATTTTTTAACGGTAAAAAAACCACTTATAGGCCTAATCTTAACTCTGATGTGAACAATAAGGACCTCAATATCTTAAATCTGAAGGGGTTATGATAAAAATTCGAGTTAAAACTTATCAAGTTTTTCAGGTTTCAGTTTCGAATTATGAATGTTCCATAAAAAAGTTCGAGATACTGAGGTGTTGAGGTCTGACAGTGATGTTACGTCACGGCCTATATATAATTCAACGGACGAGCCTCCGTCCCATCAGGAAAAAAAACACATAACTTATGTTACATAGACACGGGCCATAGGGTCTGAGTCGGGACTGTCCCGGCAGAATCGGGACGGGTGGCAAATCTTGTGAAATAAATATTTAGATAGGTTACAAATTAATCCATCTAACTTAAGCCTAAGTCTATGGTTGTAATTATACAATAACTTATAGCCTAGGCTAGCAACCTACTTGCTTTAATGTTCAATCTTGGTGGTGCAACTTTTGCTGCTGTAATCATTGAGGTAGGATTAGGCTACCTATGTTAGGAATGTTTGAAACAGGGTACACTTTGTTCTAGCTATAATTTATTAGCCAGAGTTAAGTTAAGACAGTTTAAAAGACATAGTTACTCGTCAAATAGATGATTTCTGTAACCATATTTATAGCAGATAAGAAACTTAAGAGACACCAAAACCCTATTGTGGGGTGTCTGATTTAGACATGGGATGGTGGACAGAAGAGCGAGTTTATTGTAAACTCTGTCATTTCAAAAACAACAACGTTTACGATCTATGAAAAGACTTTTAAAATATTTCAACTCATATTCGAAAGATAATTAAGAAATGTTATTTATTCAATACATACCAAGAAATTGATCGGGATTTACAAACATCAGGATGACATTACTCAACAGTGAGTAATATGTGTGAGTTTCTGAGTTGAGTGTTGAGTGTGAGTGTGAGACTGAGTTGAGTCTTGAGTGTGAGGTGATGCGACTTGGACTGGACTAGGAGCAAGGAGTGAGCAGCGATCACGAGGAGAGGAGACTGAACGCACTGAGGAGTGGGAAGACTGGACTGAGGAGTGAGAAGACTGGACTGAGGAGAGAGTAGACTAGACTGATATTGCAGAAACCTTCAATCTAAAAAAAACATCAAATATAAAATGGGAAAGAAAGAAAGGCGGCCGTGAAAGAAAGTATAAGAACCAATAATTAAATATGTATAATAAACTATGTATACTGTACCCATGGTGGAAGGAAAAAACATAGGTGTGCTATTCCCACATATTCTGACGTCACTCGGATTGCAAACAAAAGATCACCTGATTGTAAGTGTCAAATTAGTATATGTATTTGTTTTGATTTGGTTGTTTTTGTTTTTATTATTATAAAAACAATAACAATCAAATCAAAACAAATACATATTAATTTGACAGTTACAATCAGGTGATCTTTTGTTTGCAATCCGAGTGACGTCAGAATATGTGGGAATAGCACACCTATGTTTTTTCCTTCCACCATGTACTGTACCAACACTGGTCCGCTGCTCCATGTTCCCGATCCCAATAGTCAGTCCAATCCATGAATTTCCAATTCCAAGGGGTGTGGAGTGGAGTGAATCTAGTGAGTGATGGTGTGGAGTGAGGACCGACTGAACTGACTGCTTTATTATTTCTTTTCAGTTTTAGTTTTCTTTTCATTTCACAACTTCAACAGTTAGAGTTAATTAATAGCAACAGCGTGGTTGTCAATCACGTTTAGGTTAGGAAGTTGTTATTGAGTTTGTGGTGATCAGTTTTAGATAAGCTATACCTTAAAAACTCAATTTCATCACAATGCCGGTTTCTAAAAGGGATAAAAAAGGTAAGCAATAATATGAGACATTTTTATGATGTTTAATGATAAAATAAAATCTATCTATCTAAATCCTATTTAGACCTAGGCCTCTAGAGGATTAAAAAAACCGAAGCCATTATGATTTCAACACTTCAAGGTGGCTGAAAAGTCCCTTTACACTAAAGGTAGGCCTAGGCTAAATTCAATGGGTGTTGATTTAAACCATAGAAATGTAGGCTTATTTTAATCGAAAATTTATTGTGGACTAGGCCTACACCAAGTGAACATCATGTTTTTAGTCCCAAACATCGGCTTGCATACCTCCATTGTCTTGGCAAAGCTTGACCGGCCATAAGTTAGCTCATTCGTTTCAGCATTTCTGGGGTGACTCGTGCAAAGGCCGCCCTTAATCTCTAGGTAAGTTTACTGAGTGCCCCCACGTCCAAGGGCTGTGGCGGCGGTTGGGAAGGGAGAGTGAGGCTCCCTCCACATTCTCTCCCCACACTGTTGCCTTACTACTCACGTACGATTATTACTTGCTGATCAGTCGTGTTTAATTATAACATTACTGTAACCTACTGCAATATTGTATATGAAGGGACTTTTCTGCCACCCTGTACAATCATCCTACCTTTTATATTTATTTATTTATTCCAAAGGCAAGATCACCAATTTACAATGTAGATTCAAGAAGCATATGTGGTAACAACGTGCATTTTAACAGAAAACTTAACAACTAACTTAAATCTATGGCTGGAGCAGAGCCATTGGTAACAGGAAATATAATCTTGACTAGGAAAGCAATAATTTAACAATGAAGTACAAAATAATTGTGAAAAAGCAATAAAAAAGGTAAGAATTTGGTCTGGCAATACAGTAAAACAATCGATCCAGCAAAAGCAAGGTAAATCTTTGGCTAGGAAAGCTATAATATAACAATGAAGTCGAAATAGAATATGAAAAAGCAATAACAATAAAATATTTTATGCAAAAAAAACAGTATTAAACAAACGATAACATACTGTAACTCAAACGTACCTAATTAAATTTACAGAAAACGTAAAAGATAGCAAATGACGAATAACAATGGGACACACTAGGTTTCATTGGCAGGGGACCAGGATGTGGCCGCAGAACGCCTGATGGTTGCTAGGCTGTCATGAAAGAGGTCCACTGAAGCCGAGACGTAGTTGCCGGAACGCATGAGCCTTGGAATAGGGCTGTACTGGAGGTAACTCCCTAGTCCTGATGGTGGGCACTCTGAAATTCATCTTCCAGGAGGTAAGGACCAACCACCTCTCTGAGGAGCTTGTAGAGGAAGGACACATCTGCTACTCGTCTTCTACATGATAATGGCTGCAGCGCGTAGGATTCTGAGATGACATCAATGGGGACTACTAAGTAGTTGAACCCCTCTCGGCGTCCCAGGAACCTGATGAATCGTCTTTGGACTGACTCTCGTTGATCTGTAAGGCCGAGTTGGTATGGAGACCATACAACCGAAGCATACTTAAGTAGCTGATGGACAAGGGACTTGTATAAGATGGTAGCTACTACGGAATCCAGCCCGTAATTTACCGTCCGAATAACAAGGCCAAGGGTGCGGCAGGCCCTGGCACATATGTCACCAACGTGGTGTCCAAACTCAAAGGTGGAATTAATCGTGACCCCAAGATCCTTCATGCGACTGCATCTCTCCAGCTGGTTCCCAACCAAGACATAGTCGTATTCAATGATGTTGCTGATCCGGCTATAAGTTATCACTTTGATTTTAGCTTGATTGATGTACGTTCGTTGAGCACCATTGATGAACACTTTCTAAAGCTACCTGTAGCAGTAGGCCTAAACAGTCATGACGCGATTTCACTTCCGATTTCATATTGAGCTTTATTTGTTATGTCCATGGCATTTTTTTTTACTAAATTATATTATTATAGGTGGGGCCCATTATATATTTTTTTTAAATTAATTTGAGATGGGGATGACAGCGTGCGTATTTTAACCCAAATATGAGTGAAGGATGAATGTAGAATGGAGTGGGATGCCTTGGGTAACTTTGTTACTGATTAAGACCAGCTGTTTGATTAGTCAGGGTAATTTATTGAGCCCAATGACAGTTGGTTCTACAAGACATGTAGGCCTAGCACAGGCTCTTAAGGTAAAGCTCTCCAAACACATTAACCCTCAAGTACGGGTAACGGATGCCTAAGTCTTTGGCGATAAAGGATGGGTGGCACATATATCCGAATATGGGTTAACCGCACGGGAGATGGATATATCTGCCTTATCTTGAGACAGCCTGGCTGGTATTTTTGCAGTTTACCCAGATGTCTCGGGCTACCACAGCGCTACTTCCCCACGCTCTCCATAACCACTGCGACTTTGAAAGCGACATGCCGGCTGCCCTCTCCACACTCCCCCCACCCCTAAGATGTATAAAATCTAAAATAAATTTTATTAAGTAAAGTTGAAGCAAATATTTATTTTTTATCGGGATCAAATAACTTACAGCACCTTTTACCCAGCCAATACCCTTCCAAGCAATAATTTTTCTCAACAATTGCGACGATTGTTTAAAAGTGTCTCCAACATTTTCTGCGTTGTTATCTCTTAAAATTAATTAGAGAAGAAGCATTGAACATGTATTAAACATAAGCTACACTGCATTGGCCATGAGTAGGCCTAATTAAAAGCTTAAAATATACAACCCAAAATAGTCCTACAATTCAGTGCAGTTGATATTTTGTTTATAGATTCAGCTTTAGTTAGTAATGTAAACCTATTGATTGAAATGCATTTTTTCAGTGTCATTAACAAAGACTACAAAAAAAGGAATGGCAATGAAACAGCAGTTAGTCGAAGATGTAAGGAAATTTCTTGATAAATATGAAAATTTATTCGTCTTCACCACAAACAACATGAGAAATGGGCCTCTGAAGGATCTGCGAGAAGAATGGAAGGATAGTAGGTAAGACCCACTACTTACTGATCAGTCGAGGTTATTTCACCAGCAACATAGGCTACATTAACCCTAGGCCTACTCATCTTAGTAGGCCTATTGGTATAAACTAAAGCAATAAGCAGGTTATTATGCTTGTACTCATCAACATTTTAAATTACAGATTCTTTTTTGCCAAGAGGAAAATTATGGCGCTTGCTCTTGGACGAACTGAGGCAGACGAGGTACAGAAGAACTTACACAAAATTTCCAGCCACCTTGTGGGGCAATGTGGCTTGTTGTTCACAAATAGGCCCAAGGATAACGTTGTACAGTAAGTAAATTGTTTAGCAAGTAGGCCTAAGGACTTTTAGCGAATTTCCCTATAGGGAAGTAGCTATTACCGTAGGTGGCACGGTAAGACCTAGACCCGGGACCGATTTACTTTTTCATTTTCATGTCCCCAGAGGCCAAAAACACCATTCGTTCAAATTTTTATATATGTATATATATATATATATATAGACTTATATATATATATATAGACTTATATATATATATATAGACTTATATATATATATATATATAGACTTATATATATATATATAGACTTGTATATATATATATATATATACGTCCGTAAACGCGATAACTTGAGTAATTTTTGTCCGATTTTGATGAAATTTGGTTTAAAGGTGTAAAGCGGGATAAACTTGAATGAGTTCGCGAACCAGCACGATCGGACCATGGGAACGGGGCTTTACGGGGGGTTTTATCGGGTAAAAATTGGGTTTTCTCACTTTTGACCCTCAAAACACAAAATTTTCCGATTTCTCTTTAGACCTTTTTAAAGAGCTTAAAAAAACAAATAATTTAATATATAAAAAGAGTATTTTTGTTCGATTATTAGTAACGGAGAAAATTAAAAAAAATTTTAATTTAAAATTCCCATGTTATTCTTATGGAGAATATTGTCAAATGTTGTAGTTTGCTTGTTTATGGATACATTTTGATCAAACTTGGCAAATTTATTTATTTTGTACTAAGCTATCAATATTTTACTCAAAAACACACTTTATTAGTTTCCTTGTAGCAGCAAACCTAGGTACTCGTTAAACCTAATGTTATTAAAATATATTTAACTGAAAATCAATTCAGACAAATGGAAATTCGCTTAGTCGGCAGGTTTGCTGCGGCGGGGATATTTAATATTATATGCAGCAAATAAAATGTAGTCTTATGTATATATTTAATACGCGACATGAAACTTTGTGAACAATAAGGCTTTTTTGTTTTAAGATTTAACCCCACATATCATATACCAAAATGTTCATCTAGGTGTGTAGATGTGCAAACTGGCTTTAGATTTTCTAAATATCTTTTTAAGGGAGTGGGCTGCCCTCAAAGTGCCTTCCATAAGGATAACATTGTGATTGATTTGAAAGTTTATTATATTCTAAAACAGATGTAAATAAATTAGTTAAAAAAATAAATTCTAGCTGTTTTGTTTGGTTTTGAAATGTAAACAGTTTGCATTGTTCTAAACAGTTGTTTTTAAAAATAATGTTGTAATGTCGGATAAATTGATCGTGATTGAACAGATCAAAAATAATTTTTGATTTTATAGTTAATGTGAAATTTATGGCAAATAGATGTATTATTTATACTGATTGATTTTAATTGTTTTCGAGAGAGATAAAGATACTTGCACCGACCTTTGTTGGTATTGTGGAGGTGTGGATCGGCGACATCTGGCTGGGGTACCCCATCTTTAAGGCTGTTGCCGTTGGTTGGCCATGATGGCGTCTATATCCTGTCCAGTACTGTATTGTACACTAGCACTGACTTTCACTTATTAAAAGTTTATAAACACAACTAAAATATCTCTCTCAAAATACTCAGAAAAATAAATATTCCTTTCGGTACAAAAAAAAAAATCTTTGCCAGGGCAAATAAAAAGTTAATGGTATTCTAGAAATTATTGCGGGTAGCGTAATGCTTGATGTGATCTCAATGATGAACGGCAGTGGACTGTGTCTGAGCTGCGGTGAGTGTGTGTGTGGTGGACACATGATAAGAGAGTTCAAAGGTTAGAAAGAATTGGTTCCTAACAAATAATTAGAAACCTGGCAAGGAAATGTTACCTATAGGACACGACGGGAGAAAAGTTTGATATTTGATTTTCATTTAAACATGCCAAGGACCCGACGACAAAGAAATATTGCTGGCCGGACAGGCGAGTCAACATATGGCAAGCAATGCAAAATGTAAGGAGCCCAGACGAGGAGCTGGAACAGTTAGTGGCAACATGTACTTACAAAATTACACTGACAAATACAAGAACTCAGCAGCATTCACTTGGCGAGATGGCATTAAAATGTGGTGTGCTACATTTTAAAGAAGAACAAAGAGGACCAGGCAAAGGATTTTCATCCCGTTGCCATAAAGGAAAAGTGAATCTACCACCATACCGAGAGAGCTATCCAGAGCCTAAATGGAGCAAATCATTTGAGCAGAAACTACAAAGAGAACATTAGATCGTACAACTCTGCGCTCGCAATGGTCAGCACTCGAGCTAAAATTGAAGAACATAACGTTGGAGGGCCTTTCATGTTTAAGGTGCACGACACAATTTATCACTCAATTGGCACCTTACCACCGTCAGAAGGGCAGCATCCCACATATGCCCGAATTTATATCTACGACGTCGAAACCACTGTTCAAGAAAGAATGCTAACCAAAGCTAATGGCTCTTGCAGCACTGAGCTCATGCACATTTTGACTCAACATTTGGTTGATATTAATCCACACGCACAAGTTTTCAGCATGATGAGTTCCGTTCGTTTAAATACTCCTACTGAACAGCAAAAAGAACTTAGAATGCATATAGCCAACAATTGAGCTCAAGCACAACGTCGATACAATTAATGACGCAACTTCTAACGACTTTGCTATAATAATCCTAATTTATTACTCGTGCGAATTCGCACGGGTTCACCTAGTAGCAGTTATTTTTGTAGGTGCATCTAATTCTTAAATGTTTTAAATTCTAATAGCCTACTTTGATGTGTGAATATTCTCAATACTTCATCAAACCAGGGTACGGCACTCCATAAACCACTGAAATATAAAATATGAAGATCTAATTCCAAACTACAATCGAGTATATACCAAAAAAACCCCATAGGGGTAATTTGGCCCTTGATAATCTGGACCCTCTAGTAATCGCGCGTGATTCTATCCAAAAAAATAATAATGAACTGTAGTTTCATATTGAAATACAGAACAATATATACTAGGCCTAGATCAATTCTATATTGTACTACAAGTTACTTAAAAATTACATTGCCTACTATACCTACATAATATAATTTACTGTACCTAATATCCATTTACTGTATAATAAGCAAGTGCAATGCCAAACTGCACTACTAACTTACTGGAAGTGGCGACAAACAAGGGATGAAACTGAATTCGCTTTCACACACTTTGCACGAGTCGCCCGCCCCGGTTGTCGCTCGAAGACTGCAATTAATTACCGGTATTGTTATTATTTTGTCACAATATTGTCTCAAACTTTGACTGCCACTAATGACTACTAAATTCACTAATGGTTACTAAATTCACTAATGGTTTCTCTAATTCACTACTTTAAATGGTCTCTGGATGGTCTAACCTTTTCGTAAATCCACCCCACCTGTTTAAACCAGATTGTTACCTAAGGGAATAATTTCTTATAAATGTATCTAAGGCTTCTTGAAAGTGAGGGTTAGCTAACACTTTGTCAAAACTCATATGCGAGGGAAATATTTTATAGAAGTTGTGTAGTTCCTAAAAGTAGTATCTTCTATGAAACCACTTGATCTTGGGCAGTCAGTTGGTCAAGTGGTAGAGCACAGCGCTTCTGACGCCAAAAGGGCCCAGGATTAAATCCTGCCCTACACATATAAAGCTACGTGATATTACCGCAACTCTCTTGGTCTAGCCTGAAGTATGTGTTTTTTACACACATCCATGATAGAGCCTAGCGTCTTTGACCAGAGTGATACCACTAGACTTTCCATTAAAAAAAAAAAATTTTAAAGTTGTCGCCACTCGCCAGTTATTTAATCAAAATCATCGTTTTTATGTAACCCACAGGCAGATTGTGCTGATATAAATTACTTATTTCTGTTGAATAAATATACTGTGAAATTACAAATTTACTCTGATGAACGATTTATTGTGAGCTATAGCAACTGCTATGACCCATCAACCATGTCAGTAGCAATAAGGTACAAAATCGAGTTTTAGTCACTAGCGCAATCTGTGACTGGTTCATAGAACTAGATATTTTCTTTTTTAATACAAAGTACGACAACAGGAGGTTGATTTAGACGGCATGTCTACTTCAGTATCCAGTAGTCAATGCTAACTTCTTCAGATGTTAGCCTAAGTAAGGTCATTATAGGAAACAACTTTAACTAAGAAGGTTCTTTATAGGATGAATTAAACGTAGGTTTGATGTTTGACAGATGGTTCAGAGATTTCTCACAAATGGAGTTTGCCAAGTCAGGATTTGTTGCGACAGAGACTGTAGTGTTGCCAGCCGGTCCAATGCCTGAGTTCTCCTTCTCCTTGGAGCCTCATCTTCGCTCCCTCGGACTGCCTACTCAGCTGGAGAAGGGGAAGATCATCCTACGTGAGGACTACACAGTGTGCTCTCTGGGCTCCAAACTGACACCCGAGCAGGCCAACATCCTAGTGAGTAACAAACTCAGCGTGTAAATGCTTGAAAAGCGATGTCACTTTGTATGATGTCAAACAAGGTAGGGCCTATGTCAAACACTATTTTAATACAAAATAAATAAAATCAGTGAAGCTGTAAATTAATTTCATTTTAGAAGTAAGGCTTCGATGGTCACACTTGACAATAATACAGTGTCACATCAAACTGTTAACAACGTTGGCTACAAGAGCGCAGGTTATGATGATAGAGTTCTTTGTCACAGTATAGTCCTCATTTTGCTGCAATGGTAGGGATGGTAGCCGATGTTATAAATTTAACCGCCCTTACACTTTGTATATTACTTTTCCACAAATCCTGTTCTTCCTATTTATCAAATAATTTTGTTTCAGAAATTGATTGGAAAACAAATGGCAGAATTTAAAATAAAAATAGTATGTATGTGGTCCAAAGATGGTTCATTTGAAAGATTTAAGGTTCCCAAGGAAGCTAAACAATTGCCTGAGGAAAGTAGTTCCAAACCGCAGAAGAAATTAAGTAGTTCAAAAAGTAAGAAATCGGAAAAAGAATTAACCAAATTGTTTGATCAACATACAATAAGTGAACCTGAAGCACTTAATGTAGAAAACAATCTGAACAGTGCAGAAAGTGAGTCAACAATGGAAGATGAAACTATGACAGAAGAAAGTGAACAACTGACAACAAGTGAAGAAGTAGAACCAAGTTTGGTCAATAAATCAGAAACAGTAAAATCAAAGAAATCTGTTCAAGTAGTGGTAGACGAAAATGATGAAAATAAAGAATCTGTAAACAAAGAAAGTGATGACACAGTTACTGTAAAGGCAAGTACTAAAAAATCTGCTCGGAAAAGTACACAAGTAAAATCCGAAGATAAAGTCTCCAAAGAAGAAGAACTAGAACATTCAGAAGCTCCAAGACCAGGAGAAGAATCCCCTAAGGTAACAAGGGTGAATCCAAGAAGATCTTTGAGAACTCCAAAGCCAATCAGGAGAACTCCAGAAGAAAAGAAACAGTCTGTTAAAAAGTTAACAGAATCAAGCAAGAAAACAAAGTCAGCAGTAAAAGATAGAGTGGCAAGGCCCACCAGGAATACCCCTCGCAAATCAGTTTCCAAGAAGATATTTGAAGAGCCAGAAGATGTTGAAATGGCTGAGTAACGTTGACTTTGGTATATATTGTAAAATATAACGTTTGAATTATCTTTGTGTTTTGATTCTTAGCGCCTTTGGATTATTGTGAAGATTTGTAACAAACCAATAAACAAACAAGTATTGTAAACATTAAAGTATTTTACCTACAACCGTTTTTAAAACTAGCCAATTCCATTCAGTTCTTGGGATTAAAAAGATTCACTTTACTTCCTTAACCGAATTTTTTTGTTACTTTACAGTACAAGTTTGGACCAATGATATTCAAGGATTAAGAGAAAAGAAGTAAAATTTTGATGCTTCAAACATCTACTCATTAGCTGTTAAGGCCAATTTAATTGATTATACAATGAGTGTGAGTGGTTGGGAAAATCGTTGTTGTATTACAAATTACAATCAGTGGAAATGAGAGGTTATAAATTAAAACATAACCTCTCTTAGATGTTAAGAGTAGTGATTATTAGTAATTAAAAAAAAGTCGTAGGCGTAGGTAAAGTACTCTAACTTTAACACACTGGTAGAAGTTTTAAAGGCACTCGCCAAGACTCAACTGTAAGATATAGGATAAAATACATGAGACTTTTTGGATAAAAAGGTTTATTGTTTTAAAAATACATTACCTTAACAGTATATGAGCATGTTATTCATTCTTAGTCTATTCGGGTAACTCCTTTATCTTAATCCACACTTTGTTACAACATAGTAAAATTTAAAATTTGAAAACATTATTTTTAAAGTATCATGTTTCTTATTTGATAAGAAGTTGTTTCTAAAAGTAGGTGTTTTACTGGGCCTCCAAAATTATCATTAAAATATTATTTGGAACTTAACTAGACAAATTCAATATTGCTAAACCTTTTTTTAACAACAGAAGGCTGAAAAAGCTAAATAGCTAAAAAAAAGTCAGATTTAATCAATTTTCAGGAAAACAAATCAAATGTAGACTGCTTGTTGCAACGGTGATTTTAGCTTCCCTGGAGCATGTTAAATAAATAAGCTAAAATACATAAAAATAAATAAATTTTATGTTTCACTTTCAGGGATATCAATGATGGCACATCAGAAGAAATGATTCAATTTTGGAGGCAGCCATTAACACAAAAAACATTAAATTTCTATAGAAAACTGATGTAGGTATTCAGATGCCAGATAAGATAATGAACTAACTCTGGATTACATAGCTTGCCAAACAATTAAATAGTTAATTTAGAGTATACAAATCTTTGGTTTTTAGCTAACATTTAGATTATACCTAGTTTACTTCACTATCCAGGTGGGTTAGGACAAGTGTTTGAATTGATATTGTTATGTTTAATTTCATTATGATAACAAGTATAGCACGATATATATGAGTAAGTAAGACACAATGGATTAAACATTCTTATTAAAATCTCAGGGACTAATCCAGTAAGAGATAGGCTATGTGGGATCACAAAAAGGTAAAACGTTCTTTAAAAACGCAAGAGAAGGTGAACATGGATCAATTCTGCTTTCCTAATAAATTTTCACAACCAAATTTACCTAAGTCCTACAAATAATTTGAAACAGAATTTTACATACAGAGACGTTATAAAACTTTAAAAATATAAACCCACGGCCCTCTCAAAAATTTGATCTGTATCTGTCCCCAAGAAATAAAATTAAAATAAAACAGTTTTAAGTCAAACAATGATTAAATAGAGTTGGTTACATGTAAATAATTAATTAAGACAGTAGGGCACATAAATGTATACATATTCCTAAAAATAAATAATGTAAAATAGTAATTACAAAAATAATGTAAATTATTATCAACCATAGATGAACAACTTTAATGTAGGTCATTAACGACATCATTCATAGGGCACATATAGTTTTGATAGATTAACAAGTAGTAAAATATAAAAGTTAAAACTTTATCTGTAATGAAGATTGTTTAGCATTAATAAATTTTATTGTGATTTTCAAGAGGAGTATCACTTAAGTAGATGCTTTTAGCTCGTTTCATACATGCATCAAGAAATAACTTCTATCATCTAAAAAGTGTAACATATTACAATGGTTGAACAAAATTAGGAAACTTTACAAGGTTGTACGTTAAATGTCTCAATGAGAATAATAGACTGAACTGTAAGTACACACTTTGTTCAAACTTCTGCATCAAACATCATTACGTATTATTAGAAGTACGTACGTAAAAGAGTTGCATATTTTTAATTTTATACAGTATCATGTCATGGTAAAATAAGACTTTCCAGGTCTATGGTAAAAGTTTGATCAGAATAACTTGGGTAGGCAAAAAACTAAGGCTCCTCCACAAGTATTATTATAGACAGTGTTCTGTAACAGATGAAACAAAAATTGTCATAAAAGTGAAAAGTAAGTAAATTTATAATCTGCAAGGAAGATCATAACATTTATTTCATACAATAGTTGGGAGGTAACCATGTCCTAAATTCCCGTATACTTTAAGGAAGTTACTAAACAATTGTTATGATTATGTATAATCAACGTTATCATATAGTAACCAAATTTACCAATACCGATTTTTAAAATCACTGACATGAACAATTATTTAACTTTACTTATACTTTACTTTAATACTTGTCATAGTAATGCTATGACGGTCCAATGAATAAATAACACATATCAAATATGTTCACAATATACTCTATAGCGAAAAAATAAGTTAATTACACTTAAAATTAATGCTGAACTCGTTAGAACGTGTCAAGTTAGATTTTTAAATAAAAATTCAAATGTTTTAAATCTCATGACTAGGAACAACATGTAGAGTAAGGAGAGATCTTGTGTGAGTCTTTGGTGTAGTGCTACTCGGGCGTGACATTGACACACTCAGCTTCGTCCGAGCCGTCGCCACAGTCGTTTTGTCCATCACACCTCTTAGTCTGGGGGATACAACGGCTGTTGCTGAAACAGTAACAACGCAATGAAACTTTCAGTCGTCACAGTTTTGTTGAAAGGGTGTAGGTGAGGATTGAGATTTTTGATTGGAGAGATAGTAGCTACCTTAGAAATAGTCCAGGTAGGCCACAGTATACACAGAAATGTTTTAATAATTGTTATCACATAGGTCAAAATTGAAGACTTTGAAACCAAAGTAGCTTGATTACTCTTTGTCCTTCTGCTGACAAATTATCTACATGGGGTTTTTTAAAACTCAACCCAAATGACAAGTACCGCAAGATACTTTTTCCTACAGTCACCTGACAAAGTTGGCTTCCTTGTACTGTTTATAGTACAAACAATTCCAGGTCTGTGTCCAACAGAGTAGAGGGGGTTTTTTAGTGAGTAGTCTGATAATTTTCAGGAGTCTCACACTACTACCTGTGTGCGTGAAAACATTTTCCCTCCTTTCCAAAAAAAAAAAAAAAAAAAAAATAGTACAGAAAGCTGCTAATTGCTGCATATTTATACTTTGTGTACGGTTTATACTTTGGCGCACATCAGGATTCCAACGAAACAACACAAAACAGCGTGGTTCTATTATGCACGTAATCCGTGTACGCTTGGAAATAGGTTGGCAACACTTAAAGATAATAATACTATGAGCAGCTGATTGAGTATTATACTAATATTTAACCTGTCATTTTGTGTTTATAGTTTCGGTATTTCTGAACTTCCTGGACTTTTCTTTTAAATGTTTTTAAAACATTCCTACGATCTTAATAAACAAGAAAATACCTTTAAAGCATTTTTTAGGCGCGGAAGCCAATTCAAATTACAAAAACATACAGAACTTTTTTCTCAGGTCGCGGAGCACATTGCTTGCCGAGGAAAAAAATAGCGGAGTGATACGGACCGGTGACTACTTTCTCTAGGGCACCTATTTGTGTTGCCATCTGAACCTAAAAACGTGTTGCATAGTGTTTGACTAATTATTTATATGCTTTATAGTGACTGTAGGAAAAATATAATGTGTAACACGAGTGCAAAGGGCCTTTGCTGCACTCGAGATCATTCCACGTTGCTCTCGTGTGTAGCAAAGTGCCACTTTGCTCACTAGTTACACAAATAACTATTTCATGACAAAAAAGCTCATATGATGGTATACCTGTTTTTTTACTTCATTGTCAATCAGCTGATATGCATTGTTGCATAGTTATCTATGAGTTGTAGTGTTATTGGGAATTTATTATGAATAAGACTCAACAAGGTTTTTACGCAATCTCAAAGAGTATATTATATATTGAAAGTAAATCATTGATTTTATGACAAGAAATTAAGGGTTTTAATTTAAAGTTTCTAGGTGTGATTCCAGTAGGCCTACCTAAAAATCAACTATTCATAGAATTGCCAAAATTTAAGTAAACCGGGACTGTAAAAAAGACAAAAATAGAGACCTAAGTTACTCCATACATATCCTATTTGAGCTTGCAAAATAAACATGTTCAGTTTTATTTTTTTACTGGACTGTCGGTCTGCGTACTAGAACTATGCGATAGCTGGCCAGCAGAAGAAAACTCGTATGGATTCACCTACTCAATGCTTTAGTTTCCAGTTTAAAGGAAGGTACCTCATTAATCTAATTTTTATCTGTTAATAATAAGTGACAAGTTTATAATATTGCTCTTTTGCCATACAGCCTATTTGAACATTTTTGAAAGTAAGCATACACAAGTTTACCCCACGTCCGCTGGTTTGTAGTTAAAAAGTGTCTCATGGTAGTTGTAACTGTTTTGGTTGCTTTAAAAACCCCTGAAGTATGATAGGACAGTTAAAGCTAAAAAAAATTTAGGAGGGATTCCAGACACCTAGTTCCTTTGGGGAAATAAATAAGTAGGTAGGTATTAAAATAAATAAGTTACCTGCATTTCCACTCGTGGGTTTTGCAGTCCCCCCCGCAACCAAAGGGCTCATCCGAGTGGTCTTTGCAGTCAGGGAAACCATCACAGAACCTGTGGTTAGGTATACACTGGCTGTCATTACAAGTAAACTGTTCCTGGCCCACACAGTCTGAAAAACAACAGCATTAATTAAATACAAGACACATGCTCAACCTTGAATATAGAAGTCATCATCACTATCACTGATCTCAATCGTCTGAGATC